TTAATAAATTGATAGGCAGCTGAATTGAAGCCAATTCTCAATCTGATATCACCACTTTCCTGAAAGCTCTGCTTTGAGAAGACATGTTGAAATGAACTATACATTTTGGAATAACACAGTTCACTGGTGCCTTGAGACGGTACTTGAGTCGCACTTTTTAACAGATTTGCTTTAATGGAGAATTGATTTTGGAATTGGGTGAAATTCACTAACAAAAAACTTGTCGTGTTAAATGTGAAACTGCTATATCACAAAGAACACACTACTTTAGATCGCATAAAGTAATAACTGGTTGGAAGCGAGAAGAAACAGGTTTCAAAATTAGACAAAGAGCACCAATTCAGCATGGTAAAATGAAAATATCGTTCAAAAGGATTTTTAAGCCATTTTAACCAAATGCATCGAGCACGCTTTTCTCTGCAGAGTTTCACTAGAAATCATTTAACAAACTTGTGGCATTTAAATCCTTTGCACGGACATTAGGCACAGACCTAAATGTGGGCTGACTTGAGCCAAAATAAATAAAAATACTTCAAAATCATGTTCTATTTTGTCCCATGGCAGCGCAAGACGATTCAGTTTAAAAAGCCTACTTTCACTGCTACAATTTGGGTTCTTTAATTACCCTTACCACCATAACCACTTGCGACTCATCGGCAAAAATTTTGAACAAAAACACAATATGATTGATTTTAGGGAAACTGGCGCTAGGTGCAAATTAACTGAAATAGCTGACATAGTTTGGTTCCTCAAGGACTTATGCTTCTTGTACGATATTCGAAGTGGACCTTTAAGTTTTCTAGATTATTGGACAAGATGATACGCAGCATATTAATTTGTACTATAATTGATAGTGTAGCACAACGATGACCAAGACTTGGCAGGACAAGTGTAGTTAGTACCTTACCCATATCACATCGCAAGTAATTTCAGTATTCAAAAATGCAACCCAAGATCATAAAATACAATGATTTCAAAGTATTAGGTGGCATTCCGTAATACTCATTTATTAACACCGAGGTAAAGAAAATAGATTGTGTACTTTGTAGTCACGTTTTTATAGTTTTTGTGAGTTGGACTTGGGCACTGCTATGGCTCAACATGCAAACACGAGGTCCCAGGCCTCGATCCAGCAGTCCTGTGTCGGACCGACAAGGTGATCCTTGTGATTAGAAGCAGTCGCGGGCGCAGCGCTTGCAATTAGCGACAAATCGCCAATTATGCCGAACTTCAGAAGGCCGCATAATGAGTATGACTCCCTATAAGTTATAGTCAAATTTTAATCACCTACCTATCATGCTTTAGGTCCTTTTCTATGTTGTGCTAAGCAATACCGATATTTAAAAAAGCAATTAAATTGGCATACTGCTAGACAAACCATCATTAGGCATACGGATTAGTCGCTTATGCCAGACTACTTTATTTCCTTCCTACTGAAGGCTCAGTCAACAAACCTGGAGTCAGCAATAATCACTCGGATTTTGCATACTGCTGTCACAACCACGTTTTACAAGGTTCCGCAAATTCGACAATGCCAATGAGGATTACAGTGTTTAATTCCTTTAAAAATTAATTGAATAGATAAAAAGGACCCCATTAAAGACTGGATACAGTTCAAATGAAGCAGGTGTGTTATAACTTGAAAAATCACGAAAACTAATGTTCGGTCCACCACTCTCGCCAAATTAGGTGACTTGCGTATATCTGGCGTTTTACTGGGTTTTCAAACAAAACGACTCCTTCAATGGGAATTAGCACCAGCGTTTATCTAAAACAGTTTCATTAAGTTATACATTTGCAATTCAACCAAATAAGACACCAAAGATTGTAATGGTTGCCTTTGACCAATTTATTAAGGCTTGATGGGGTTCCTAAGGCCATTTATCTCCTCCTAGTGTTCACTTAACTATCGTGTCACCAAGATACCACAGTTTAAAGAAATTTTGCAAGTGAATTTGGTTCACTCGCAGTTTACAACACTTTTGTCGTATAGCAAATAAATATTGGAGGGGAATTACTGGCGGTGCGAACACTTTTGGTAAAGACGACCACTCTAGCAAACTAAGCATGTTAAAGTTTAATCTATAAATCACTCCCAAAAGAACACTTTCAAGTCCGAGGCAGCCACATAGAGAATGAGTCATTATTCGGGCGATTAGTCAGAGTCATTTTGGCGAGAATCAGTTGCGCGCATTACGTGTCCCGATTCCAAAGCCCACCACCACCAGGACCACAGTAACACACTATTAAGAGTAGCGTAATATCGTGGCTGATTATAATTTATTACATTTGTCCATTCCAGTAAGAGATAAATATTTTAATGTAAAAATGGAAAATTGCGTCATCCACGTTAAATTCATTTACTCTGTTTCATTATTAAGGTATACTCCATTTTTAACCTTCCAACTATTTTCCTGCCCCTATATATACCATTTTTACTGACTTTAGCTGTGTGAGCAGCATAGATATTAGACAAAGGACTGTACTTTTGCAAGTCCGACTTTCAAGAAATGAAATCGCGAGAAGTTTGCTCAAAGCAGACTATTTTTTATTCAAAAAAAGAAGCGGAAGTGTGAAATGGTAACTTAATGATTCACAAATCGAGACTTTTGAAGAGAGCATGCAAAGCTACCTAGTGCATAGGTTTTTGAACTCTAGAACATCCATCTTGAAGTCTGATGACTCGATAAAGGCGAAAAGACGAGGGAGGTTAAAAATGCTGCCTTTTGGTTATGCAATATGTTTAAGTTGTTTTGTGTTTAGCAGTCAGGAGTTACAGACTGTGTATGTTTGGGAAAGATCCGAGTGCGCAAAAGGTACCTGGTTTATGACAAATATAGTTTTACCGCTCAGGTAAATTTACTGGACTCAAACGCGTCTAAAGCGATAAAAGCGCTTACATTGTCCTGTACCGTCTTTGCAACGATGAATACACGACATCCAAGATTACCACCAGTCTAATATCACTATTCTGGATTTTAATCACCTAAATATGAGAACCAATGCAATAGCGAGGTTTGCGAGATGCATTCTGAAGTCTCAATGAGAAATGGTGTAGTTTAGGCGCACTGACTAGAGCTGTAATCCTGGTTTGCCAAATGTTCAAATCTTTCCTTACTGCTTACATAATTGACGAATCGAGAACCCACTACTGCTTGATGAGTGACTGACAAGCTCTAAATAGCCGAATATGCAAAGCGCTTGACTAGTAAAACAACAACTGGGGTGATTGATAGTCGATACGATCCTGGGCTTCCGGTAAGCCCCAGAAAGAGGCTATTAAACAATATCGTGCTAACTTTACCAATGTGACATCATTTGCATCCCTTTTTTCCTGTATTTTTATTAAAGACTTCTCAAAGTCTTCCAATCAGTGGGTAGCAATAGTAATGCCACTGCCCCTTTGTTGAGGAAGAAAACCGAAAAAATCTTTTAATTTTATAAAATTACGACAGCTTAACTATTTTAGGTATCATACGAATGCAAAATGTGCTTTTGTTCGATCAATTTCAGTCAAATATGCGCTACATCCAGATGCCCTTTGTGTCCAATGTTTTATGGCCAAAAACACTAAAATGCCTAGTTTAATGGCGTTGCAAAATACACCAGACTGATGCAACTTTTAATAGCTGGTCGCATTATTTTCATTAATTATTCGGCGAAAAGTTAACGGTTTAATTTGACCTATTTGCTTTGAGACGTGTAACCGCAACCAAGATTCTCTAATGTACACTTGATTGTCAGATGCATTATAAAATGGTTGAATGTCGATAAGATCCAATGACTAATATCATCTTCTGCACACTTAGTTCTGGGGCTCTACATGCATTCTCACTGTACCTCAGAGCATTGTGTCAAGACACAAGCCATTTAAATGTGGAATATTAGTTGGAGGCAAAAAAACGTACATGAGTTTCATCTTCTGGGCATAGTATCGAAAAAAACAAACTATTTTATTCCAGACTCCAGTGGTAGCAGTTCTGAGAAATTTAAAACCTTTCAAGAGCAGAATGCTTTTATAGAACAAGGTAATTTGATACTAACATATTTTTTTTAAATTTTGAACCTAATGCGTATAGCGGCAGAAGAAGTTTAATGTAATTTTCATTATTACTTTGGATGTGTTATCTCCATTAGGGAGTTAAATCAGTTTTACAGCGAACAAATGACATAGTGTCAAAAAGCGATCATTGTAGTTGCTTCTAAAATCGGTCTGTATAATCAAAAACCATAAATAACAGTAGTAATGTGGTTAGTAGTCTGAAAACTTTTATAAATTTTATCGAAAATTACTCAAAGTATACTTGGTTGGAAAAAGAGCACTGAGCACCTTCATTTGAGGCATTCACAATTGTACATAGCTCTACGTTTACCAAATTTTACATGACAGCGAAAAGAAAATAACACACGAGAATCCTCCCCGTAATCTTTCAACACTATCGATTTATCCAAAAGTTGCCTCAATTTCATTGCGGTTCGGATTCTATTTGAGCAGATTTAAAGCATTATTAAAGATTCATCATATTAGAAAAGCCACCATTTTTTTGAAAATTTCATCATGAAACTGCGCAGTTATGGCCCCTTTCAAACATTTAAATTCGGTAATTTAAATGGCACTGCTTTTACGACAAACCATTTACAGAAGATGGAATTAATTTCAGTGGATCAATCAGTTCATTCAAATTACATAAAGGTTATAAATAATTAGATAATCTGAATTAGGTGCCACCATGTAAACTTGCAAACAAAAATGTCTGCGGAAACTTTACAAGGAAACGTGATTTTAGCCACTTATGTAGACGCCAAGGACTACGATTTTCAATCGAAACATCATCTTTTATTAAAATGTACAAGAACTTAATGACCGACAGAGATCAGAAAATAAAAGTAGGTAAAGCGAAGGACACAAAATGCACAGGAAAATTGGGAGATAAAAGTTCAGAAAACAATAGATGCCTTTTGAGTTGCACACACGCCTAAAGACGAAGAAGGAGAGTTGCTTATGCAATGGGCTTTGGCGATTCAGGGGACGGCGAATGAACGGAGGCTTTGGCAACTCGCTGATGACTATGGGCCGAGGAGTGGGAAAAACTCAGTTTACCAATGGAGGATGCTTGACCATACACGGAGCAGCTACGGCTGTCGTCGAAGTCTGTTTCCTCTTCATTATCGGCGTCCCTCACATCTGTGAGTGAATTCACCTCTGAGTAAGTCATGTTGTCACCAATGCTCGAGCGCTGCTCAAAGTGGCTGTTTGCAAGGCATGGTTGGGGCGCGATATGAAGGGGTTCAGGGGAATGATACATTGAGGCGGGATTTAGACCTGGGAATGCCCGGCTACTGCAGTGGGATCCGGAACTGTTAGACATCGACTTGACCGCAGAGTGGCCAAGTTTTATTTGATGGTGAACTGATGGGGGGTAGTTTGAAGACGCAGAATTAGCAGATTCGTTACTGGAAACGGTTTCACTAAAAGGTAAAAAATTGTGTTGGAAAACAAGTAGGACTAAGAATTGTTAGGTGTTTACTGATGTTGATTCCCTTGCTTGATGTACATAATACAAACTGAACAGCTCCTTTCCTTTATTTTCCATGCTGAACATAGGCTCTTTTTCATCGGGTCAAAATACCTGTGTGCATTGATGTCAAATGAACCCAGGAAGCATATGTTTTCAAGGTTTTTTTAGAGGATATAATATTGGGATACGACTTGAAGAGAAAGTCAGCCTACTATGCAATACAACGCATGCCAATTCAAATGATAATACACAAATCGACCAAATTCGCTCCAGAAAATCAACTGGCCATTCGGAAGTGACTAAGATGGCTTTGCGTTAACAGCAAATTACCCTACTTACAGCATTTGGGCACCAGTGTATGACAGTACCACGTCATGGATCTCTTAAAAGTTTGGGGCAATTTAAATTTCTCTAATATGCAATATGTGCCTCTTATAGATTGAATAAAATTAGCCTGGAACGACATGTAAAATTCCTCATATGTGACACGACATTTTATGTGCCTATAAACCCTAAAGGAATTCGTGAACGTAAAACTTAAACAATCAAATATGGGAAAGCATGATTTGACAATAAGGCGATAAAAATATTTAACCGAAATACCACACAAGACGACTGCAAAAGGCCTATTAAAAATCCATCAAAAGCAGTTACATTTCGCTTCACTATTTAAAATAAACAGTGAAAACGAAAGAATTTTCGTGCCATTATTTAATCTTGATTTTCCAAATATGAAATTCCTATTGAAACTATGAGAACAATCGCTTTGCCATTGCAAGTTGTTTTTCGTTTAAACCAACGACAATTTCAGCTACTGGTAAGAGTACCTAATAATGGTCTTATACTGTCCAGTTGAAAAACAAAACCACTTAACAATTTTGACATCCAAATAGCCCCACAATACACAATTAAATCGTGGACCATTTTAGCCTAAATGGAGATTCCTTTTATGCAAAAATTCTGATTTGTACTATAATAGACAGTATTAGATTCGTCGTTACGTTAAACAGGATGGTTTTTGGGAGTTAGTGCATTCATTCATTCAAGGCGTCGACGTTCTATGGCTAAAGTTATTCATAATCAGAGAATCTCTTTTTGGCTTTTCTCTGAACTTGCAGTCACTAAGTCGCTGGCGGGTAGGACCACCATTCACAAAATTGAGGAGTTACTTTACTTTCATAATCGGCGGCATTTAGCGAATTGGCGTGTATTCCAATATTTTGCTGTGATTTAATTTAAATCTTTTGTAGCTGCGTCAGCTAGTTTATATGTTTTCCTTGGACATCAACAACCTATTTATTTCCAAGTAGGATTACGTTAAGAATGCGTAACTTCGCCAGTAAATAGAGGGTTTGGTATGGACTACACATGTTAAAGCTTCTTTTTTGATATAAATAAAGGAGAGTTGGTCAAATTCGATTTGAATGATATTCAGATAACAGAGTAACCTTCAAAATTGAGCAAAAGCTAATTAATTGGCGTTACAGCACAGTTGCAAGTAGTTATACTAAGATATTTAAAAATTTCAGTAATTTTTTGGATGGTTTTACATTTCTGCAATAAATAAGTTGCAAATTAAAGGATTTGAATGCTGTTTCACAGCCCAACGAACCAAACATTTCGGATTTCCTAGCATGACCTCAAACAAGGTCCCACCATAATTGCAGATAATGGGATCCTTTGCACAACCTCAACATCTACTGAAATTTGAGGGGCAGGTGAATGCACAAAATTGGTCTAAATTATTCGCATGCAGTTTTGACTGCATGATTAGCCCTAGTGGGTGACGAGAGGAAACATGAATTGTTACAACATCAGATCTTACCACCGTTTTAAGTAGTACCGTGTGGCTCACATAATTAAACGCTGATCCACACCTTTAAAATGATTATTTTGTGTTAAAGGAAAGCATTTGTAACTACCTTAAATTGACAGCGTGGAACACGATCTCACCTTAATAACACGAAACAGGTGAGAGCTTAGACCATATTTACAAAGGTAGTGGAAATGGACATGTACGTGGTACTGGTTACCGACACAACAAATACTAGATAAGTAACTGGGGCACAAACCTGCAGGACACGTGTTTCTGAAAAATTTCGATAGCTTTTAAGAGTATCTTTTGCAATATTTCATCGCTTCATTTATTGTTTTTTTTTTGGTGATAGAGAATAATATTAAGCGAGTTTAAATAACATTTAGTAAGTGGCCGGAGAGCATATATATTCGATCCTGTCGTGGGCAAATTCTCAGTGTAGGTGGGGGTTTTTCGTGAATATTTAAGGTCTTATCAACATTTCCTTAAATGGTTCTAAACTTTAGCAAATATTAAATAGTGGCTTACGAATCACGACCCATCAGACCCCTCAAATTACGGAATTGGATAAACAGGGATTACTACCAGTTTAAAACACATAATAACAAATAATAAGAAAGAACCACTAGGGCAGACTTATGTTAAACGATGCCCTGAATTAGGAGTATAAAATTAATCGGTAAAACTTAATTTAACTTAATTCTCAAACCTAATTTGGAGAGTGTACAGTGGCAAGTGAAGTTTAAGCCAAACTGCACTGCTTTTCGCAAGTAGCTGGCTAAAACGGCTCAGCGTAGGTAATTACTCGAGCCTCTCAATGTTGGTTTTGCTGAGCCGTTAGTCACTCCTTATTTCCTGTGCCCTTCTGCTAAAATAATTTAACGAGTCATCTAGGTATTTAAAGGCGCGAAAGCAAAGTTAGGCAATTTCGAAGTTGCGCCAAAAGCTCAGACAAGCACTGCTGGACGTACGCAGGAATAAATCACAGATACCCATATTAAACATATGAAAATAAGAGTGGAGGCAGAAAGAAGAAGATTTACAAAGAGGTGGCAAAAAACAGTAACAATCATCAAGGTTTTCAAAATCCTATCTTATTCTAAAAGTTATACATCGTATAGCAAGAGCAAAAGCAGGCATGTGGTGAGGCTGGCGCATCACGCTAGAAGATGCCAAAGAGGGATATTCAACAATCCAACCCACTGTGCATGTAGGTTCTGCTTCACAACTATGTTAGTCGTCTCCGTGTCTCTGTGGAACGCATGGTATTCCAACTATAGGCAAGTACTAAGGCAGGGCAGCAAAAATTAAGTGAAAATGTTACAAGTCACCGGAGCTTAGGATAAAACGTTTCAATAAGGATTCAAAGCGTACTTCAAAAGCGATAGAGCAAAAATAAAAAAAAGTATTTTGTGGTACTAGTGTGATGAACACTTTCAACAAGTGCTTCACTTATGACAGTGATAAATTTATTAAGTTTGAACATGCTCAATGACAGTGAAATTGCCTATGCGATTACATCAACAAGCTTACTGTTGAAGGCTTTAAGTAGAAATTCTAAAACTAACTTGATCACAGATCGACGAAGGCACGTTTTAATAATTCCAGCCCAATAACAAGCATTTGAAATCGTCTTAGAATTAGATCACCTGCCGCCTTATCAGTGACACTGACTACCGCTTACTTTGTCAAAGAGGGAGACAATGTGGGCGTACCGCTCGCCTTTTTCATGTTGACGAGACCGGCTACATTAGATTAAAATTTACGTTGTCACGTTATCAGTAAATATAATGATCTTTCGACAACTCTGCATAGCCGGACAAAGTGAGGGCATACAAAATCTACAAGCACAAATACTTCTAACACCCAGATGGTGATAACCACGAATACGCATCTTCTTTCTAAAGCCAACGATTAATGTCTACTACAGTTAAACTAAGCACTGGCTTTCATAGGTTAATATTCCATCAGTTCGTTGCCAAGACTGTTTGACGAAACTGGCACGAAAATAGGAAGGACCTGAATTTTTCTGAGGTGAGTAAAAGTATTCGCATATTTCATCGCAACGAGTTTAGGAAGTCGACAAAAATGTCATCAAGCCACGTTCTGCTAAAGGTAAAGCCGATTCACGCATCCGAATTACCGGAATTCTGATTTGTTCGGTGAGAAACTAGCACTTTTACCAGGATCTTCATACCTGATAGGTCACCTTTCAAGGTGCTTTCTTTGCTTAATTGTTTGCTCCATTGATAGACTAATCAGGCAGAAGAGCTGCCAAGAATTCATTTCTGCGTTCCATCCCAGTGATTTTGACTGCCCACTGATCAGCACAGCTCGCCACGATTCGTGCAATCTCCAAATTATGCGTTTATAGGTACGTCTATATAATTTCCTAACTGATGGTCATGCTGCTGTCTAACTGCTTTCCTATATCGACCAGCATTGTTCAAAAAATAAATTATATGATAAACTCGAAGTATTCAAACTGGTACATTCAAAATTCAGGCCACTGTCAACGGCAAACTTGAAATGGCCATTGAGGAAGTCATCAATCCAATGGACTATCTTAACTTTATCCCATTCTACCATTGAACGTTGAGAATTAAAACATAAATGGCGAATTGGGTGAAAAGGCAAGTTTGTGCCCACCAGCTTTGTTATCCAAAGGTTCCACAGATGGTCTTTTCAAATTCTTTTGATTTGACATATTTTTATGACAACATTTCTCACGTAAAAAAGCTGTTCACTTCGGGATGAACCTAGTTTGCTCGCCATACCCTTCATTAATCACTCGATAATGACTTTGTAACTTGGAAGTCAAAAGTCTGACGGTCCTGCCAATCAGAACAAGACATCATCTCAATCCCTGACTTTGAATGACAAGTTAGCTCAATTTGTTTATTGATCTCTGCCAGACGACCACAGGGAAACTTTTTTCACTATAGCAGCATCGCTCGATTAACTGTCCTTATAAAACTTCGAGTTTGATAATGAAACAACCTCACGGTGTAACAGAGGAAACCTTTTGCAAAGAATCATTTCAAACAAAAAAACACGTTTCTTTTGGTTCATTGTAGGTGCATCCACAAGGAGACTCTTAGATACGTGAATTCAAAGGTTCAACTTACCCGGTCATGTATCCATGCAGGCCACCGATCATGGGTGGATGGGACGCTATCATAGATTGCCCACAACTGCCGCTACTACCGAGGCTACTTCCTGGACCTCCATGCTTAGCTCCCATCTGTTGTACCGGCACGCAGACAGTGCGGGTCTGGTGATGCGTCAGGAGATGGGGGGAGCACATTTTAGAGGAGGCCGAGGTGGAGCCACCAGAGGCTGCTGACTGGCTGCCGGCAACTTGTCGAGGCTCCGTCGCGAGCTGGAACTGCTGTTGTAGGTGGCATGGGAGATGGTGAGGATGAATTTGATAACCCTCCGGAGCGTAGTAACCAGAGAGATAGCCTGTTTGAAAAGGCATGCCGTTATTGAAACTGTGCATTTGGTCTGTTGCTAGACCAAATCGAGACCATCTTGGATAACAACTTTAATTGCCAGAGAAGCAGTTATTCTTTGTGCTGCTTCGCAGCTCGTAAAACCAGAGTTATGCACGTGAATATAAGTAGCTCATAATATATTTATTGGAATCATTCACCTGGCGTGGAAATGGATCATACATTTTATGTCCATGTTGGTAAATGATCAAGGTTGACATCCAGGATACACCAGAAACCAGTGTGTAACAGATGGTTAAACGTACCATGATAATGGTACAGCAAGAAATGAATATATGAACGAGTGATTTTTTTCTTAGTGAAGGGACCACGACAAATGCCCGTGATCAACGCGAACAAACGTTGGCTTGATCGGGTGAAACCACTTCACAAAAGATTAAACCAACAACAACATTCATTTAGCCAATCAGCTTTGGCATATTTGGTGGTGCCTGTAAGTAGGCAGCAGAGCGACTAAAGCGGATTAGTCAACGAGGTGGGTGCTAGAGCCCAATGAGTCATAATGACCACGCCCACGCTCACACAAAGCAAATGCCTAGGTTTAATTTACATCCATAAATTACCTTTCTACCCTGGCCATCTTCGTACAAATTAGTTAGTAAAGATCAGTGTGAATAGTTGGTATGGCGATTATACGAGATGTGCTGTCCTAAAATCACATCGACATTGATAGGGCTCTGACGTTCACTGAGTCGAACACAAGTTCGTTTCAAAAGCAATTGTAATTATTTTCCAATCGTGTATGTATAAAGTTTACGAACGGCAGTGATTCAGGTCATTCACAGACATTTAGTAACAACAGAAATTCACCCAATAAAATTCAAACAACAGTTGAAGTTGATTCGAATATCTTTCTCAAATAAGGAAATCACACGCACTTGCGTGCTTCAGTTTACTGCGTCTGTGGTAGATGAACCAGCGTTGTCCTAGACAGACGCAGCATGTTAATTTTCAAAGTTTATGCAATAGAAGCTACCAAATAAACCCCACCAAAATATAGCAAAAGCATTTGGACCTATTCAGCATTAACTCATTGAATGAAAACATTACTGCAGGTAATAAACGTATTTTACATCTTCACTTTCCGATTTTTGCCTTCCACTTTGTTACAGTCTCTGTGCCTAAATACGTGCACCTGGAACGCAAATTTCAGGGAATGATGATAATTGGATTTTCGAAGTAAAATTGTTTTTTGTTTTGCATAGATTTACCCGTACATAGCCCACAGTATTGTTTTGGGAATGCATTCAAGGGAGTTTGTTCACTTTAGAGTTTCCAAACACTTTTACACCTACCAAGCACACTTCACCCTAAGCAGTGTGTTCGCAACTTTTGCTTTTGGGTGAGTCAAGCCAAATAAGAGAAGAAGCCGCCCGTAATTCAATGTCCTGATGGAATTTTTAACGCATGTTTCCTATCCGCGTATCGCGGTTGAAGTAAAGCATGGATGTAGTCAGCCCTAAGCTCTCCCGTCTTTTCTTAAGTTTTCAGGCACCACTACGATGTAGAAGTGTTGTTTCTGTGCTGGCGATGCCGCTGTACTTTTTTACATTAATAGTTGTAGCGGTGCCTACTTATTCAGGTTTAAATCCAAATGAAAGTTCAGTTTGATCAGCATAATAAATGCGGTTTTAGGCTGCAGCGATAAGCCTTTTATTTGTCACTACCACTGCTTTCTTTCCGCGTCTTTCGACAACTTTAATGAGCCGATTTGAAAGCGTAGCAGCTGATGAGTTATTTTGCATTCAGTCACAAAGTGGTGTTGGGGGCATGGTTCTCAACCACTTCTCCCGTCTCCTTTTGGCTGATAACCTAATTATTTTGCTTTGGCCTGCTATTTTGTTTCGTGCCTTTATATTAGGTTTAACTTCAGGTTAAACCTAATGGCAGGTATTTTATTGCAAATAGGAACGCTCAAGAGAATTGCAATTCACGTAACCTTCGTAGATTTCTAAAAGCGGTCTATGAGTTGCACGAGTTGAGGTCTTAACCTCTATGATCAGAACCGCCATTGCCGTTCATCACAAGGTGACATTCAATTGATACACCTAAGAGTACAAAACGGCGACGTCTTTTTGAAGCTACCAAAGTGAAACGTCGGCCAATATTCTACAGACTGAACCGGAAGAAGGGAATCAACGACATCTGCATAAATATTTCTACTTTGTTTCTTCGGTTGAATGTGAAAATAGTTCATGGCTTAAAGAGCTTGCAAAAATCGTACACACGCACACACACGCGCTGCGGCAGAAAGGCGGTCAGGATTCGATTTGTCCAAACAGCACTCTCAAAATAAAAACTAATCCCCCACGGTCCAGCACGAGCAGTCCCAAATCAGGGCCATTTACGCGATTCCTCGAAAGCACATGTGGCGGCGCATTCAAACACAAGTCAGCGCGTAGCAGCATGCGTACACGAGGAGACGCGGACGGCAAGATGCTCGTGGGAACCCACCACGCACCAACGTGGCTTACAAAAACACGAGAATGAATGCGTGAGGGTGTGTGTGCGAGGCGGCTACTCGGTCAACTCAAGCAGCTGCACGAACTCGGCCGTGTTAACATGCGTGAGTCAACAGAGATGTGCTAAATTTGCGCCCCTCGAATGCACCTTACGTTTGCCGCCGTGGTTACAAAGATTGCCAAACTACAGGAACGGCTATTGTTACCAAGTGCACGTTTGTGTCGATCTCGTCGTCTCATTATTTTACGACCCTCTTTAATGTCGGATTCCATAGTTGGCAACACGCAACGGGGGTGTAAATTAGCCTTGCTGCTTGCTACAACTTCCAACTTGACCAAAACGGAAAAATTCGTGATTATGTCATTGACTTGAATGGAGAAAAGGCGGTCAATATAAAAGGAAACCAAGAAGAGGAAGCATAAAGGAAACTAGCAACAGAAAAACTGGGAAAAAGTAATGTATGTACCCGCGCTGACGGCCTCTCTGTAAATATAGTAGAAACAGTATTACGCTATTCCCTTTTGAATGACGACATATAAGAAGTGCTGCTGATAATAAGTAAGATTTCATTTAAAAAGGCCAGAAGAAGCTTGAAATACTGAATTCTGATTAGTTTGAAGTTAAAAGCATTCACCAGCGTAGTTAGCCATTAATTTCAGCTACACGGTTATGTGCTCCTTGATGTTGGGTCGAAGTTACTTCCGCCACCTGGTATCAAATATTAAAGAACCCAGTTTTGTTACTGCGTTTAATGGGCGGTACACAATAATGGCCGCACATAGCGTTTACGTGACCCTCAACCCAGGAAAGAAAATGATAACTTTGATCATAGTCTGGTGCCAACGGAACAGCGTTAATGAATTTCAGTGACAAATCATCGCACAACACCCAGTAAACTTCTGTATTTCCCCGTATAGACACACCGTATATTTCATCAACTGTCAAGATGGCAGTTTTTAGAGGCCTGTTTTTGCCGCATTTGTTGGAAGTGTCTACTTAGAAGAATTCACCAATTTAGCAGGTCTTCACAAATCAGCAAAATAGCACCAAAAGCTCACCGGTTCGTTGAACTTAGGCAAAGAATTTTTTCGCGTTAATGTGCTTTTTATTGTGAAGGACTAAAAAGAGTAGTACTATGGTAGAACGCATATATTTGTGGTTTCGTTAGAAATAATCATTGCTATGTTAGCGGTAATTCTCGAAACTGCCCTATTATAATTTTCTGTGCTGTTAACGCAAAATAATACCTTATAAAGAACAACACTACGTCCATAGGCATCCATGCATCAGATAAATTATTGTAACAGGATTTATCAAGCTCTAAGGGGCTTTGAATATAATTTTTAACAATTAAACCCACTTTTGAACTTGGTTTTTAGAGTTCATGGGGCTAAACCAATATGACTTGAGCTTCCACAAATAGATATCCTGTTGTTTTTGTTGACAGGCTTGTCAGTGTTACCATTTTTCCATTAGACATTCGCTAGATGTCACTTTCAGCTTAAGTCAAAACCAAATCACACGTAATTTAGTTTGAAGATGTCAGTCCCGTGAGCAATTTTACTATGAAAGGCAAATCGAACACGTTCGATAGACTGTTCTCTGTTACCTCTAAAAGCCAATTTGTCCACTGTGACTCATGATGACGTATGTGATGGTTTTTTAGGGTTGATTGCTAAACAAAACGTATGTGTCATAACTCAACGATAGCCAACTTTCTGGTGAAATCTATTGACGTTGATGATGACCAAATCAAAGACATAAATCACTCGAATCGCCATGCAACTATGCAAGAGATTGCAGAGCGGTTAACTGCGGTACACACTCAATAACTGTGAATCTGCTTAAAACGTCCTGGACTCCTTAAAAAGCCCAAAATTATGTTGGTTCAATTCGATCAAGGTCTGAAAAACGCCTTTGATAGCAAAACATTTCCAAATGAAAATAATCAAAATCGTACTCAGTTGATGTTTTGCTGAATAGGCAGGAAATTACCATAAGGATAGCAGGAGATCATTGACCGAAACTGATAATCTACAACTAATTAAGTCAGGTTTTGCGTAATGAAACGAGTTTCATTTCACACTGAAAAACCAACATTATTTGTCAGTTCATCCACAGCCACAACCTGTGTTGTGGTTTCAAAGGTGAATTGCGTTGTTATCTTTAAGGCGCATCCTATTATGCTAATTGACGCGTTCCCCTTTATAGACTAGACTGTAACAATGGCAATTGGCAGAGTGAGTTTGCGGTGCAAAATGGAGCAATTTCGGTGGTCAATGCAAAACGTTTTAAATGGCGCACTAAAAGGCATCTCAACCAACCGTACCGAAGCTTGCAACCTGCAGCAACTTTGATAAATGAAGCATGATCAACATGAGGTACTTGATTTACCCAAAATACTGGAGGCAAAAAAGTGAGAAACCAGAATTATCTCCTAAAGCCAAAAACTTCTTGTCATGAGAAATTAAATTCAATTGGGTATTCTATAAAAACTTGAAATAAAAAGGTGAGCCTTTTCTGAAGATTTTTCCAATGCATTAGAAGTGAAGGCAATGGTTGTTATAGACCCCCAACATTGCAAAGACCACAAACCTTCAGAATTGCAGCCGCATAATTCTCACGACCCGAAATCTTAAATAGTACCAGCTGGCAAACTAGTAATTCTAAATGTATGATAGGTTTGGCATTATGTCAGTCCCTATAAATGGTTTACAGTGCGCCTATTTACACATGGGCTGTTTTAACCTTTCTATGCATGCGGCCACGACGGAGGCAGTAGAATTCCCAGATGAGCAAACTTTGATAGCAGGACAGACCAAGTGATAAATTTATTTTAGTATGCGAAGTGTGGTAATCTCCCTCGTGCAAAGCGCTCACGCAATTTATATGAGTGGGTTCGGAAGTGGCAAGCTCAAATTGTTACAAAAATTGAGCCTCGACCACACGCACATCATGTACATCGATGTAAAAACCAGAAAATAAGATCTGATGTGAACGAAGATTAGTCCTCCGAGATTACAATACCTCGTACCATAGTAGAAATGGCTCATCATACTTCCCGGAAAGGTCTTAACTCACTAAAAAAGATGCTACTACTGTTACCAAACGCATTAAAAGTTTGTTTTAAGTGGTCGTTCCCGACACCAAGGTAGCGAAGTTCCCAACCACTAACAAAACGGCTAGCAACATGGTGGGATGATCAAAGCTGCAAAAGTTGTTTAAAACATGGGAATGTTGAGAAATGGACAATTCTTCAGCTTGAAAGTTGCCATATAATCTTTATTAGTTAAGTAAAAGGATGTGGTTGTGATTCAGACAATGACAGCACTACCACCAAGTGGTGTGTGCAAGTTGTTGACGTAACCTTGAGGTGATGACGCATGTCTCTCGCAAGATACGAAGACCGACTGGCTGGCTGATACGCCACCATGGATGCGTGCTTGGGGAGAGAATTTTAGACACTCCGTTGCCAGAATAAATGTTCTACCAATTAATATTTCCGAAAGTTAATGAATATCGTGAACAACCTCAGTACTGTTTGATCGTCTGATTAAAATGTAGATATGAAACGAGAAGAGTTGGTATGGCGTCATCCATGGTCATTCCCTCGAACTTCTAACTCCTCACCGTATTCGCTTACGGCACTGACAGTCCGTTTAGTCACGTGACCACAGGTCATAGATCACGATGATTGCTAATACCAATCACGCCTCCAGGTAGGCCAAACTTGGAAATTCAATCCGCACATAAGGATGCTTCCGATTGTGCATAAAAATCGACTAAACGAAATGATTTTCGTACATGGAGTGAAGGCTTGAGAAATTCAAGCAAATGCATTTTTCTGCTGAATTTAGCGCTGTGACCTGATTGCTAGCCAGCCCATAAATGTGGCTTGACAAACTAAGTGCCAGATGGTAAAAAGTGTGTAAATGAACACGCTAATGGATGCAGTTTAGAAACCGAAGCACCTGCAACTGTAAACGGTGGAAAATTCCAGAACCAATGACATAATTAAAACCACATTCAATCAAAATTCAAAGGTGTGAAGGTAGGCGATGGACCTTGAGTCATAGATAACTCATACATACGAATCTACACCGGATATTAAGAAAGCGTTAGTTGAAAGTTAGAAGATAACGACAAGTAGCCCGTTATCTCCAAACATGTATGCTTAATTAGCCCCACTTGACGGCATTCAGTGAAGAACATACATTCAAGACAACAGTTTTTCTTTGCCTGGGACGACATTGGTTCATTTGCAGCTGACACATTTGGAGTTGTGAATAGAAGACGTGTGAATTGAAGCACACAACTGCGTGGGGGTGGAGGCGCCGGCCATGACCGATGTCAACCAAAGCCGGCTCGCCGCATTTACTAATTAACCGAACCGTTAGGCCTGTTAAACGCTTGGATGTAGATGCCTCTTCATCGAACTTTAATCAAGGAATGACTGCGTTTGCAGAAGATGTAGTCTCAACAGCAAAGTACAAGTTCACCCAGAAGCACTAATTATATTTTCCAGTTTCTAGAAAGCTCTAACTTTCGATGCTATGTTCTGCACAAAATAAATGCGATAATGTAATTGGTGGAACTTAATGCTTAAAGTTTTAATCAGCGCCCTACTATTTGGTGACTGAGGAAAGCATGACAAATGACTTGCGCTGATTTTAAATATGGGTGTCAGCGGGTTTCTACAAAGTTATTTCCTCTTGTTGCATGGGACCATTGTCAAATATGGTAAACGCGCGAAATGTTGAAAAATGTGATGACCAGCTTTTTAGATGAGTATTACCGATGGTAGGTTTTAAATGTACCACCATTACAAGATTGGAGGCATTCAAGCTGTGCGGAAGGCGTTGTCCGAGCGAGGAGTTGCCATGCCGGATGGTCATTGTTCACCGATTTTGGCGCCGTTCGCTGGACAGCAGGAAAAGTCTTCTCCTGGTCCGCTTGTTATCGCTTCCAAAAGCGGTCCTCTCAACGGCCAAGGGCCGCTCACCACTGCCTTCGACTTTTATCGCGGCACCGAGCTTGACGTGCATCTGGTCATCTATCTCGTAGAGCCATTCACTCAGGTTCGTAGATAATGCCCCTGTGCTGTAACTCGCGGACAATGAATGACTAATTCGCTTTCTCGTTGGTTTATAATCAGTTTATGCCCTTCTGGATGTTGACATTCACGGTTCTCTTGACTTCTGTGTCATCATCTTCATCACCAAGCCACTTTCATTTGGCTGTAATCTTTTGGGTGGCCCTAATTAATTAAACCCGTCTGTTATAGTTCGTGCACGACTAGTGGATACTGTGAATAAAATATTACTCCTTTTTAGTTCTTTGCTGTCACTGTATGCCATGATCACCCCAGGTTTTCCCACTATACCACTTAATTGGCTTTTAAATGGCACTTAAGAATTCCTAATTCATCGACACATGATTAGGAAAAAATACATTAGGGAAAGAGGACAGCAGCAGAGTAAATATGTGTTCGGGGAATTTTTTTACATTCAATTTAGCAAAAAAGTATTTTGATCCCTTAAATACCAGGCAAAAATAAATCACTACGTTCACTGTCAAAAAGCGTGTGTCTATACACAGGTACCCTTTGGCTGTTGCAGTCCATGTGGAAGAATTTTCATCACAAAGCAGTAAGCTTAATCCAGAATGCCAGATGGGTTTGATTTGGACAAGAAATTAGCTGTCAAATTTAGTTTTTGAGCATGTCTGAGGAAAGTCAGTTGTGTTGGTTCAAATTCCAAGCATTTGTGATGCGGTCTTGACCGTCTTCATGAGAACTTGCTCTTTCTCTTTACCACCTTGGCAGAAGTCCGATCGTCTAATTTAAAAAAAGCGAACAGTCCACGAGGTTCAACCCTCAATCTCGTAACTTCAGGATGTTGTCGCCTGCCATGGACTTCAATTCCGCAGATGAGAGCTTTGACTTTGGTACCTTCAACATCACGTTGTCCGGCAGTCAACGCGCCTAACTATGACGCCTGTGAATGAACGGAGGTCAAGGCAATAAAAATTTCCGCACACGAGGCTACGTTCCGCTTCTAAGGCACCAACTAACATGACCAGGTGAAAACCAGTCGGAAATCAATGAAGGGCTTAGGATACTGCTGACAACCATCCCAGGCGTTAGGCAGTTAGAAATATCGGTAGTCGGTGACAACTATTTCTAGCAGGAGGTGCAAGAGCTCAAAGTCGGTGTTTTGGAGAAACTGACACGAATATCACCAAGCGCAAGCATCAAGTGCCCTTGTGAAATTGTTATGCCTACTTGAAGTTGTCATTTCAGTCAGATTCCTCAGTGGGTTGGTGGACGTTTTTTCCAGAAATTAAAGTATCTAGGAGAACTTAAAAAAGGAATGGTGGTATCTCACGCCAATAATGCCACTCAAAAATTTTTTAATACTTAAAAGTGTTTGTTGACATATATATTCTACACACATTTCCAGAACAAAAGTACATTGGATAAATTTTGATTTCTTCATTTAACTAGGCCAGCTGAATTCATAGGCTGCGAGGAGCTCGCAATTAATTGTCAACACTATATATCATTTGGTGCGGCAGGTTTTTAAATAAAGGCGCAAGCCACCGGGTTAACTTTGGTAGGGAATTCAGTCTTCAAGGTCCAATGTGGATGAAAAAACTCATCCAGCGTGTAGCAAACGTGGCCTTTACTTAAGTGAAGATTGACAGTGTTTGCCAATGGGTCGCGCTCTACTTTTCGATAGGAATATTTTTTTGGCCGGGGAGGAGAAGGAGATTAAAACGAATCTGTGGAAGTTGTACAGAAGGCGCCTGTAGAAATGCACCGATTTATGGAGAATGATCCCCAAGGAACAAGTGGACAGGAACGAAGTCCATTTGCTTAGGCCCTATAAAAAGATCCAACAGGAAGCGGTGAAGAAAATTAGTCAAAGCGGGCCTCATTAAGATGCAGCGATAAATCGTGTTTTAATCGATACGATTGAGAAACTTGACCAGCGGCACGCTTATTGGTCAGAAATATTTAATAATATTTCTCCACGAAAATTATTTCCCCTGATCCACACTTGCTTTACGGATTTCTGAATCTTGAACGCTGAGGGGCAATAACTGCGAATTTACGCATTTTTGTTGATTTGCTCATTTTACCATCTCAAATACGTAGCAAGCGTGACTGTTCCTAACAGAAAAGCAGCAAATTCAACCAATAAGTACATCGATTTAACAGACATTTTTTCTAATTGGCTAAATTTTGAGATCCGGTTTGGTTTTGGGAGAAAAATATTTATAATTTTACATTTAAATAGAACGGCGAACGTCAAGTTTTGTTGGAAGGATGAGGCTATCACAAAGCCACGCACGTAGACTAATTTTTCCACTGACAAGCATTGCTTTTGGTTCTCCATGAAACGTCAGCCCAGGTTGGCAGAGCTCTGGATTCGACTGTCCGGACAATTATTGTGAATTTTAGACGCACGACGATTACTTGTTGCTAAGTCCGTAACAAAGTGGAACCGGAAACGGGAAAAATAAAAAAATCCCAGGTGTCTTATATTACGACGTGGTCTAGAAGTGGGTCAAGTGTGGACGCCAGAGGTGTCTACACTGGCGGTGGCACACCCTCGCTCACTACCTCGGTCACGGCAATGCTGAGGGTGCGTTTTCATCCGGGCTTGTTATGTACCATCAGAAGGAATGATTGCCAGGTTTCGTGGCAGGTCTATTAAGATCAAATGCAGTGGAAATATGCATTTTACTTTGGTGGTCAGTGTTAGAACATCATTTTCAAGGGAAAATAGGTGTCGCAAAAGTACAGAAAGCAGCACAACGTTGCAGATTTGTTGAGGACCGAAATCTAGGCCAATAATCCTGAAACTTCGATACCTAAAGTAATTTTTTTAATGACACCGATGCTTGTATTTCATCGCATAAAATCTGACCACAAACTCCGGATTGTTTTAATATTGATAAACACTTTCCAAGCTTAATTGGGCCCCACTGGTGATTGATAAAATGGTCCAAATTGTAAAACGCTATGCTTAGCAGACTAAATCTTAATTACGCAGTTGTAAGGACAAAATTGAGCACAGCAATACCAGCATCGTCAAATCAATTTCAGGCATAGAGGGTTCCACCCCCACATCCTCTTGGACGTGTGTTAATCCTCCTTCTCCTCCTCCTCCATAGTCTGCACCAGTCCTTCGATCTCATTTTTATATTTCTCAATACATTTGCTTTTACTCTAGAAACGGTAAAATAACAGAGCGCCGTCACGATCCTATTTAAAACAGGCCTTTATCGTGTCCATTTTCACCCTCTCAGGAAGTCGGTCGCTATCCTCTCAGGCTGAAGGCACCTGTTAAGGGCGGTTAAAGTAACATTCAAAGGGCCACCCAAGTACTCTGTTTTTATTTCGTCGGTAGAGAGGACTGAATGCCAAAGACTGCACAACTAAAATGAAGCAAATTTCCCACATATCTTACATCGAATTTATTTAATTCACCACTTTTATTGCCAATCAGTGAGCTAAATTTGTCCAGCGATTATGTTAATCTGATTAAGGCTGCGAATCAACCGAAGGAAACATCCATTTGTGGGGATCAGGTCAATCGTGTTTTTTTTTAAATTATTACACCAGGAATCAAAATGGCAGAAGTCGAAACATAAATTCAGGACGACCAGTCATGCACTAAACCAAAATCAAATCGTATCGGAGTCAAACCTAGGAAATTCAAGACCTGAAACATATAGGGGTTTATGGCCACAATTGAAAAATTGCTGTTTTTAAGGGAAAAATACCAAACTCAGAGTTTGCGTTGAATTCCAGCCTATAGTGTGGTCAAGCACTGTTTGAAGTGGGAAATTTCACCCAGCCACACACTGGATAAGCCCATTAACTACGTTTAAGGAGACTTTGATGAGCTAAAGTCAAAGCCGACATTTTGTTTGAGATTAACGCCAAAAAAATAACATACTAGTCTAATTCAGTCACTTGATCCTGATTAATGATTATGAAGTCCAGAAGAAAAACGACTTTCGTCAACAAGCAACTCAACTACACGGAAGTTAAGTCCGACTATGAGTAATATTGAAGCAAATACGTATACAATGTCGATTTTGTTCACGAATCAGTACCTCGACAGCTTAAACGTGACCAATTCAAATAAGTAAGTCACTTTGTTAAATGAAAGAAATTAAAATACGTCACCAGCACATTAGACCATTGTTACCTAAGCGTATCTGGGAAATCATTAATCCCCTGTCCTATACCATTGAGATCTGAAATTAGGCGAAGTCTGTGTAAGTAAGCCTGAAAACTGTGTTGATTGCTGAAACCACAATGGCCCGAGGTATTAGGACATTTTTTTTCTAATAGGTCAGTCTAGAATTGATCTGCTTGGGCATCAAGCAGATTAGTGTGCTGCAACCCAAAAATACCGCCAAAGTATTGCGGAAATACTACTGGTTTAAAAAAAAACATGAGCAAGTGACCAAACATAACACAACGCCTTGCCACAAGTAATAATGCGACCAGTTTGGTTCATTCATGGCCTACATCGCCAAATTAAATGAGATTAACTACCCATACCAATTCAATTTCAGGCGCCTAATACGCATTTAATGTGAACAAACATTATGAAATGAAACAGGTATAACTTTGGTTAGGATACACACTAAAGTGTGTTCTGGTTTGTTATATTTTAGGCATCTTCAGTTACTAACTTTTTACTGTAGTTTTTGTTTTAGAATTAAGTATTGAGAAATTTAACAAAATGCGTTCTGTTACCTCTTAATGTTAAACCTAAAATCACAGCTTAATTCACATACTTCCACCACTAGGTAAACTTCCGTCGTCTGAGAGGTGTCGAAACTGTTCCTGAGGTCCATCGGCGTGCAATGGGACCGGAACTGGCAGGCACTGACCAGAGACTGGGTTAGAAACCGGCAGTGGAGGCGGAGGATAGGGGGGAGGAGGTGGTATGGGGGGCACAGCATTTCCACTAAGTGGGGATGTTTGCTGCTGCTGCTGCGACCGAGGCGGATAGTTGGACCAGGTCGTTTGGAAAACTCCGGCAGCTGCTAGATGTCCAGCCACGTCGTGCTCACTCTTGAGAAGATCAAGTGAAAGCGGTAGTGATCAGTTTGACGTTTCCGGACCTCGCTAAGGTACATTAGCGCAACACACAATTTGGAACACTTATAAGCTTACAAAATAGCCAGGTGCGGCGAATATTTTTGAGAAGACTTTAAAGGTACACTTAGAAATTCTAGTCCAAATTCATTTTGGCATCGAATCCCGCTAGTGGTAATTAAGAAATGGTTTATTAAGAAGCCCTTTACTACCGGAAAGCAACTCTAGCTTCGTGGTGAAATACCCGAGAATTACTCTTAACGTGGCTTTCAAGTTAGTTATAAAAAGGACAACACAAATATGCTCACGTTAAGGCAGTATGTGGCTGTATATTTGAGCTGAATAAAACTTCCGTGTTAGCATTCATCATTATACGAATTTAAGATTAGTTCACAAGCACAATTGCTAAAAAATTGACATCCAATTTCAGGCGCCGTGTTTCAACATTTACATCAACTCGAGTTACCTACACAAGATAATACATAGAGCATTTGAAAGTAGAATAATGCCTTTGCCCATACTCCATAAAATAACAAATTTATGCAGAACAAATTTCGGATGCACTCCAGCTTTATCCCTGACATTTATAAGAACTATTCACCTTTTCGAGGCAGGGCCATCAAGGTGTGAATATCACAGACGCAGGGAGTTCGTGGGGATTTGGTGCTTACCTCAATTAGATTCTCCACCCGTTGAAATGCAAATTAGTAAGACTTAGCAGACAGCAACAAAAACCTCCCCTTAAAAGCGAAGGCCCAGTAAAAAGTCCACGTAGACAAATAGCGTAGCCCCCTTTAAACTTACTTTTCAATCTACATTGGAAATATTTATTCATATATAGAAAATTAGACTACTTATCAACATAAAGCCAAAACGAAAGGCATTGTGTACCACAATGGAAATTGAGATTTATGGACAGCATCACAAGATTTAGTGCATGGAAACCTGAGTTGGCCAGAAAGAACAGCTCATACAGTTTGCCTTCAACCACTATTTCAGGCCGTTTTCAGGCATTTTACTATCACAAACTGACTGTCATGCATTGTACGGAGGTTCGATGATGAGTTGATTCGCCGGAGGACGCCAAAATTATTAGAGGCCCCTGCTCAGTGGGCAGTGGGGATTTTCACTTAAATCCCTCTGATTAAAACGGCGTTGGTATTCCGAGCTTTCACAAGTAGAACCAACTAGTCTAATTTTGCATACTTGGTTATAGGTGTGGCTTAATCATGCCTCAAACAGGCTACGAGCGCTTTATCATTTCGAAGTTGGGTTAAAAACGCCCTTTTGAAGGTGCTTGATGACAATCAAGGGACATGATTATCACCATGATCTTAATCCGGCCCATAAAAATTTAGTGATTTTTTCCTCTTATTACAGATTTGCATTAAGACAAGATTAAGCCAGGAAACGCAGAGGTTTGCCGTGCAGCCGCAGCATTGGACAAGTTTCCCGACTAATTATTGGTTGCACGAAAAGGAACGACAAAATTACCACGGATTGCTACTTATGGAAGGCACATTAATAAAAATATGCCTGAGTGTTTAATACGTGTAACAGAACCATAGGGAATTTACTAGTGCTCCGCTAGGATTAAACGTGACATATGAATATATTTAAATTGAAAAACTGGTAAGAGGATACAAAAAATACATGTGAGTTTTATCACCCAGGGCGTTAGATGATGAATGTATGCAGCCGACTTTGGAAACATCCTTACAAGTGCACAAATGTGCCATAATTATTGTGCAAACGTACCTCACTGCTAGGTTTCCATGACGACTGGTCCAGCTCTAGCGGAAGAACATTGCTACTGGCGTAAGGCGGTACTTCAGGAGGTCCGGCACCCCCTGCCCCCTCACTACTTGGCGCCTGCGAGTCACTCCATTGGATAGCATAGCCAATTACTTGTCCGTTCGGAGGTTGTGACGAAAAACTAGAATTCCCATTTATCAAGTTGTGCGTTGCAGGTGTGGTGGGCTGAAACATAGCTGCATTGGTTGGGAAGGGTACACTGGAGGTAAGAGGGAGACAACGTCCCTTGTGACAACCCTGACTGCTCATCGCGTTTATCGGTGTGCTTGAAGAGGAGGAGGTTGTTTGTACGATTGGTTCACCTGCTCCTTCGACACTTTTCAAGAGTCGTTGCACCTCGGTACCCCCGCTTTTGGATGACTTGACGTGAAGCAAGCTGACAGCCTGATGGTCACCTGCTTGGTAATCTTGTGTTTCGGTTATCGGAGGAATTAAATGTCCCACTTTGGTCTCTGGAGAGGCATTGGGGGCAAAGAAAGCGTTGTTTTTGTTTCTTGTGGACATTTGGAAAGGGACATGGTCCTGTTTGCTAAGATTTGTAGAAGTAAATTTGCCAAAACAACAGTAGTGGGGAGAGGTTTGCTGTGATTTTCGACGACGTAAGCAAAAGACGAGAAGAAAACCGACTAGAAGCCAGGCAATAGCCACACCAGAAACAGCGCCGTAGGCCCAAGAAGGGAAAAACGAAGCACTGGTTTGAAACTTGGAAGGAGAGGATGAATGAATTATCTTCCCAAAAACAGGCATTCGATAGCCTGGACCACGAACACCTTCACCACGACAAGTTATTCCAGCCAAAAATATCGTGTACTCGATATTTGGATTGAGGCCAATGAGGTCATGAGTGTTCACATCCGGTGAAACCTGAAGAACAGGGCAAAAAACCCATGTACGACACTGAACACAAGATAAATGCAGAATTAATGTTGGAAACCTTGTTACTATGAAGCACGTGTTTCACCACATGAACCATGAAAATTATAGACAAAGAAGCTCGAACCAATACTTGGCTGCCGAATTTGGCAGTTCTACATGTGGAGTAAGCTAGTAACTGTCCCGGACACCACCGTTTGTACAGTCCCATTAATTTTGGAATTAAACCATGACAGACAAATAAGTGGTAGGGGACATGAATCCTGACAAGCTTGAGAGTTAAAAATACGCTGCGGGACATAAAATTGTCAGCGCAATTTTATATAAATCATGGCAGGCGCACCAGGTATCCACTAAATTTACGAAATGCAGGGCGTTAACAATAACAATTTAAGTGAGATTTACCTTTTGGGACTGAGTGTAGCTAGAATCATTGGCGATCAGATGAATTGAGTATCCAGTCAAAGTTCCATGGGCTAAGTGCAATCCCAATGGCGACCAAGTTACACGAATTCCGTTAGATGCGGCAGCATAACCATTAGAATAATAGGAAAAATTTCCAAAGGCGGTTGGAGTTGGGACTGTATAATGAGAAGTGGCTCCATTTAGCCAATTAGCAGAGATGATCTGAGGCGCCTTGCTGGGTGCAGCGTCTAAACTGAGAGCAAGCTCAGCTGGGGTCTCACGGCTCCAAATGCGACCATAAGTGTAATCGTCCTTGAATGCCTTAACGCTAACCTCATAACAGGTAAATGGATGTAGACCACCTAGCACCGCTCCAGTACTTGGCGACTCCCTTGTGATAGTTCGAGGAACAATCAAAAACTTCTCAGAGACCTTTATCTGCTCCAAAACCATGCCAGCATTCGCAGAAGCCTGCCTAAACCTTTCAATTAACTGTTCACTGTTGAAACTGCAGTGATTCCACTCAGGAGAATTGTAAACGATGTTTTCATAGCCCAACCGAGCGTACTCGCCCATTCCAAACAAGGCCGGATTCAACCGATCTCTAACAACGGAAATTGCGCGAGCGGAACATCGAGACATGAAAACGGGTTTAGCAATAATTTGAAATCCATCAATTAGCCGCATAGCGCCACTGTTTGTACGCACCGTCCAGTTGATGAACATCTCCGAAGAACTCAAACTGCGAACACTGACACCAAGGAACCTAAGTGAATTCACGCGAGCAGAAAGTTTGTCATAGTTCTCCCCTATCTTACGAGGTTCTAAGGGATGTGACTCCGACAGCTGACTCGTGGGAGCCATCCGAGTTGTATAAACAACACGATTAACTAAGGCCCCTTGGCTCCACATGTGGGAAGTAAATGATCTGACCTCGATCCAATACCCACTGTCAGGAAGCAGACCTTTAAGTCGAAAACTTCTTTCTCGAGTTGATTCAGCAGCACTTTCCCACAGATCCAGGGGATATTGATCATCATCGATGGCTTCAGGTTCAACCGAGTCCTCATAATTGGGATATGTGATATCTTGGGAAATATGAATTGAACTGAAGGTTTTAACGCGGCGATTAGAAATGTAGCTAGAATTATGAAATTGCAGTAAGTAGAAAACGTGGAACTTCACTCCGGATTCGAGTTCACTTCCATGATTGTAATCCCAAGACAAGAAAACCCAGGTATCGCCAACATCTTGAACAACAACATTTGAAGGTGGTGAGGGGGGAACTGGTGGTGACAAAAGCCTGTCATTATGTTCAGGTATTGGACCAACAGCAAGTTGGATGTGCCAAAAGGCGATTCGTTTGTTTATCAGCCCAAGGATCATGCAGGAATAGTTTCCAATACCGTTCTTAAAACTAGGGTCAATCACGAGCGAGTTGTCCGGCTCCAGACGAAAGCGATCTTTCCAAGATGCAGATAAAGCAATCTCCAGTTTTTCTTTATACCAAAAAACCTTAAACGTAGTATGCGCACTAAAATTATCGACTTCACTTGTGTTCCATGCTCCATATTTCATGTACTCATAAAACTCTGCCAGATTTGGCGAAGAACAGAAAAGCTTCAATTCATCCTTCGACCTGAAATTATTGACTTGTACTGGGGATTTTGAAACAACTCCTACTCGTCCAGGAAAAAGATGAGGATTGGGTTGAACAAATAAATGGATAACGGTTCGTGTGAATCCAGCCAAAGAGGAGGCGCGACACTCATACATCCCTGAGTCGGATAAGCGAGTGGTCTTTATCATAAGCGATCCTGCTTCATCCACTAGTATTCTATCAGATGGTGAAGTTACACCAAGTAGATAATATTCAGACGTCTTATGATTTATCCAGCGAATTTCTGGAACCGGTGAACCAGTAGCCAAACACATTAGTTGCGCTCGAGTGCCCTCAAGAAAAACAGCATTCCCCGGCGGCGTCTTTACAAACCCAGGAGGGCTGGTAACAGTAAGATGTGCGACAGCCTCAACAATGCCGCCATCACTACTGGCTTGACAGACGTAGTCACCACTATCTTCCAATTGAATATTAGTGAGTTTAAGAGAACCGTCAGGCAAGAGAACAGACCGAGAAGTTGGGACGGTAAGAATGGGTGGATCACGGCGCCAAGTAAGAGTTGGAAAAGGGTCACCAGAAACCCGGCAAACAAACTCGACGGCACCATTAATTGAAACCGATTGACTTTCTGGGGCAACCAAGAAAAACGGACGCTGATGAACACGGAGGAAAGCTTTCCTGCTGCATTTCTCAAATGCAAGTGATTTAGCAACACAGGAGTAACTCCCAGCATCAGCCCACGTGATCTGTTCAATTCGTAGGTTTGTTTCATCCATGAGGTGAATGCGATCAGAGAGCTCGACTTCTTTGTCATCTTTAAACCATGTGATGGTTGGTTTGGGCGATCCACTAGGTGGCTGGCACGCGAAGACAACAGTTTCACCTACGCTAGCAGCTTTTGATTGAGGCTCTACAGCGAATTCATCTCCCATGAAGGCAACATAAACGTTTGCCGGTGAAGAGACTGACCAGCCAAATTCATTAGTCGCATTGCAGTAATATAAACCGACAGTGCTGCTCGAAATGCGAATAACCAAAACGCTAATTAAAAGTCCATCAGGTAGCTTTGCTGACTCTGTTCGGAATGCAGACGTTTCAGGAACTTTTGAGCCATTTAAATACCAATCAATGGCAGCCGGCACAGCACTATTGACCCTACACTGCAATGACACAGGCTGGTTTTCATATCCAGAAGTCTCAGTAGCACCATGAGTTATAAGTGGTTTTTTTCCTAACTGATATGCAAAAACAGAAAAAAATAAACAACTATAAAGAAAAGACCCAGCAACCATTGATTTAAAAATCCAATTCAAACTCAGAGGTTGACACAACACAGCGCTAGCCCATGATTAACCACACAACGCGCCAAAACTTTTATCAAAGGACAGGAAGAAAATTAAAACAGAAAAGAGGTCGTTTGAAGGTTTACATCTCTGTTATTAATGAGGGCATGCATTTTGTATTAAAAAGCTGACATTAGGATAATATACATTTCAAAATTATTTCTAATTCTAAATCAATATTTAAACTACCCGATTTAACCATCACCCTGATGTTCTCAAATTAACGGCACAATAGAATTTTAAAACTTAACAAAATGGTGAAAATATCTTAGATTTAGCATTCCTGTACTCTAAAAGCTAAAATAGTCACGATCACTGTGACTACTTGGTGCACTTTTTTAGCTAAATCTATTCGAATATAGATTTGCGGTAACCATTCGATTAAAAACGATGTGCAAATGTGACCGCACTAGCCATGGTTTAATTATTATGGCAATTACCCGTAAAAACTGAATATTTTTGTTCAAATTCTTTTCTCTGACACAGACGAAGACATCGACCCTTTAAATAATCGACCCTTAGAAAAATCGAATATTGCGGCTAACGATAGCTGTCTTTTAGAGAACAGAGAGATCTTACGAATTAACAAAGCCATTAACATCTATGTCTCCGTAATAACCCAGAGTGAGTAATAAGATAAAATAAAAAATTGGGGAGTGTGGAAATTGACCTCAGCAAATCATTTTCATGGCATCTGCCTTCAGACAAACTTCTGCAACTCTGTCTAATATGTCCCAAATACTTTAATTAGTGATTACTTTTTGATAAAATTGAACCGTTATTGCAACACCTTAATGCATTTTTAATAGCAAAGAGTGTTCTTGCAAAACCTACCACTTTTTGACTAACAATCATATGAATCCTAATTCCTATTGACTCAAATTATCTTATTGTAAATTGAGGGATATAATTAAGGCTCACTAGCAGTGTGATTTTGGCCATATACTCCTGGCAGTCTATCTAGCTGTTAAACAATCTGAATACAATTCGAAAATTGAGTTCTTCACTCTCTAAATCGTTAACGAATTGCTGACATTCGCAAAGTGATGTAACTCATTTTGTTTTAGGGGGAATGTCACGCAGATTTTGTTAGTATTCAACAAAAATCTGTTATGTCAATTGTTGGACACTAATGCTTTTAATACAACTTTCCTTTTGAAAGTCGATTCCATAAATACAAGACCTCATGGAGGTGTAGTAAGCAAATCGATACAAAATTGCAGATATTACCGAGACATTGAATGGCTTTATTAATTTGAGTCGAGAATATAAAAGGAGATCCTTTTAAAAAGCTATGCTTGGCAAACTACTAGACGATACGTGTAGTAGGGTTGCAAAAAAAGATCAGGTTGCCAAAATTCTAATAGAGACGAGAATTCCATGCTCCTCTTGTTTGAGAAAACGGTCAAGACATAAGGCTTAATTCCATGTGTATAGGCATTGTGGACATCATTTACTTGCGAGAGAGTTTTATTACCATCTATCCTGCAATGAGCGAATTACCCGATTACATGACACGCATTCAATCCATGAATATTGGTGTGAAATAATAATAATAATTTATAGAAAATATCAATCAACGGTTCTGGAATCATATGTGTTAAATCTGCTTATAATTCTCTCACAATCTTGTAAAAGAATCGGATATCAATGACAGCCTACTTCCTTTGATTAAAACGGCATTATTGAGCACTTTCATTACAAAGGGGTGTTAATATAATATCTAATGTTGACATAACTCATTTGACGGAGGCACAAACTCTTACTCTACTTAAACTTTAATTAACCAATAATAATAAATGTTGTTGCTCTTCAAGAAACAAAATTTAAAATATTCATTCAAATTTTTTACCACAACACCTCAGCATTAAGGCGTAGAACCGCAAAAGTACGCCGATCATTTACTGAAGGCAAGGTGCAAACTTAAACACGCATAAATTCATCTGTCTTTTGGTCTAATCCAAAATCTAAAGACATCATTTTCCAATACCAGAGTGCTTCAAGGACCCAGCACAAAGGGTCTGCCTCTTTAGCTATCTATTGTAATAACAAAGGAGATAGGGTGTCTACAAATATAATTAAGCTAAATTTTATGAAAACACGAGCACACAAACATAAACCGACGTCTCAGCCATTTCTACTTGATTTGATGACAGGTAGAATGTTTCGATCTGACGATCAAGTTTTCATGTACATCTGCACAATCATTATTATGTACGATAAATTAAATGCTTCCTTGTTAGATGTTTTGTCATTCATATCCATTGCTTGATTGCCTCAACCTAGCACCGATTTTCAATTACTGCTTAGTTCTTCTCTTTTCATAATTGCACTCGATTAGCCAGCTTTAGTTTTAGACTCTTAACTAAATCACAAGGACTTTAATAATCATCACGAGTTTTAGTTTTAAGAAGAAACTTTCCGAATACCCTGCAAGAAGAAAAGGCAAGTTTTTTTCAAAAGCAACTCAATTATAATGTTTTATGATGAAGCCTAATTCTTTTCATTTTTAAAGTTTTCATCTGGAGATGATTATTCGTCTCGCTTAAGAAAATTTTTCAATCAAATTTGCATAATACCGTTCGTAAGATTAAATGAAAGTTAAACATAAAGTAGTTTAATTCAGGATTCAAGCACTTTCAACACAGCATTTAATTTCAGCTTTCTTTTTCGAAGTATAACGTGTACGCTGGCTCCAATCGGAGTTGCAAAAAACTACCATGAATCTAAATGACTTGTGAAAATTTGATCTGTCGTCGCTGGAGTGCAATTTCGTACGTTTTTAAAGTGTCCGCCAAGGCATCCATGAAGCTGATGGAGAATAACCAGTGATTTAGGACGTGTATCAGTGGATCGTGTGAAATTTAATCTTCGGACACACTAAAAGGCCAATAAATTAAAAATTTGCATATCTAGCAGATATTTTACAGTTTTTCAAGGTTAAATAACTAAACTTACCTTCGTGCGGCCTAATATTCAGCCTTATGATTACGCTTGACGCTGCCATTAATCGAATGATAAAGAAATAAATTATTACAGTTTTACAAAACAAACATGAAGCCATGATAATTTAATATTTAAAATTACATTTTGAAAGAAAGACTTACTATTCCATACAGATTTTAAAAAAACGTTTAATTTTTATTCAGATTAGATTTCGTGGTTACGAGAATTTGCTCAATTTATCAGGTAAATAGAATTTAAGAATCTCAAACGCGAATTTTAAATGGCAGATACAAATTAGTAATTCTCTTAAATTTTAATTGCATGCAGCTTGCAAATGCTTTTCGCGTTTTATTTATCATAGTAATATTGTTACTTCTATGTATCTACACGCTGTGTATTTGCATGCTTACATTTCCTCAAGTATTAAAAGAAATTCATTAATTAGTTGGTAAGGAATGTCCATTAATATAAATAGCTAGTTGCCATTGAAGTGAATCAGAAACGATTGCTGGCAAAATTTGTTTATCCAAGACACTTACGTGACAAAAATGACTAATAAAATTAAAATTATATAGTTAGATGTAAGCATTTATTTGTTGTGAATTGAAGTATAGTTTTAGGACAAATATTGTCTTGAAATAGCTAAAAGCAATATGATGGGCAAGAGACCATGCTTTCAATCAGCAAAATAGTAACATGGCCATAATGGTTACTCAATCCATGATAAACATTTACAAATGAGAACATAAATTTTTTTGCCACTGTGACTCATGTGACCAGCACTTATGGGCATTTATCTAGGCACCTTTAAAGCGTCAAATGAGACCTATACTAAATCTACCAAACTGTGTATGAATAAAACCCGTTTTTTACTTCATAGCTTACATGAAAACGAGGAACTCTTTTCTCAGATCAAAATTTCGATGTTGACATGGTAAAGAATCTGGGCTTGTACCTAAAACAGACAGCAATCGTAACAGTAGGTTGAATACTACTGCAACTCAAATTCTAAAAAAAGGTTATTTTGCGGAAAAAATTATAGTCTCCCAAATCCCTGAGAATTTAAATAGCAGTTCTAGTAATTAATCTAATGTCTTACGAAAATTGCAATGTATAAAAAAACACAACCAGGTCGATTATTTAAAAAATTTTGAGTGTCCTGTTGTCCAACGCTATTGACGTGAAATAACTAAAGCTAAACTGCCGAACAGACCGAATACACTCACTCCCCAAGGTCACATCTGGGCGACCTTTTTACCGTTTTGGACCGTCAATGAGTGTATTGGTGCGATTCTGTTTTGAGGCATCCGGCTTCGTCTACGGTCTTATTTCGTCCTGGCTTGTTTTTACCAATTCAGTTCTTTCTTCGTTATGGGTAATGTTTTTGGATCTTTTATACGGACATTGCGAACTTGAAAGGATTATTTTGTACAATCCTCGTGGATATTCCAGAACAATTCGACTAGGTCTGTTCAGCCACTGATACTCATGATTGTAGAAAAATTCCTACAACTGTCGTCCCACACTCTTATGCGCGACGGGCTTTACACTCTTGCATTGGAGAAATATGTCAACGCTATCGTCCGTTTAAATAAGATCAGGAATCCAGCGCATGTTTTCTTTGATACATAATGCTTTCAGGTTTCCTGAAAATCTGAAGGAATCAGTAACACAAATTCGTGGATATCGCAACATTTTCAATGAAGCTAGTGCGTTGAAAAGTTCGAATTTTGACTTAGACAATGATCAGCACATCCGCACACTAGAAGAAGTTTGACGACATTTAATGGGAAATCATACCTTAGATATGGAACTCTTTAATGGTCGACGAGTCCTTTTCCACTAAAAGCAAAAGATGGTCCGATATTGGATTCCAGGGTGATTGCCCAGCGACAGATTTCCGCGGGATGGGCATGCTCGGTGCGGAAAATCTACGGTACGTTTAGGGTGTTAAATTTGGGCATTCCAACCTATTGCACGCTCTTTAATGTTTTGCTATTAACAGAATGATTCCCTCTTGTAGATACTTTGTTACTTCTTATCAAAAGTTGGCTGTCAGCATCCTCTCATCTTCCTTGCATCCCGGACACTGGTAAGTCAAATCACCTTTTTGAGTACGCTTCAAGCTAAGCTAAATAAATCGACAAATTCACGTATCGTTATAGGTACCCGTTTGGTGTAGTTGGTATTAACATCACGGGTAGTCTCTGGCGCCTTCTCCTTGATGGAAGCCTTAAGACTCATTTCTATAACTCAATTCCAGGAGCTCCTGTTTTGGCCGACCTGCATGAGGTTTACGGTAAGCGCTAACCGCTTGTGAATTACGTCATCGCACCAACACTTAATGTAGTGACTTTCTGTATTTCAGTCTGCCTGTTTGTCAAATTCAATGAATTTTGGATGATGGAGTCCCGCGACATCATGCAATTTAACAACTATTTGTCTTCATTTGAAAAATCTATCAAGAAAAAGTTGCAAGCCGAGGATTTCACATTTGAGTCTCCACCAAAAGAAACTCACTGATACCTACTCACACATGATATTCTTTGCCCTACGTCGATCCTGACAAGCATGTGAATATAAATATTCATGCATGAAGCCATAATCTGATCCAAACGCTACTTAGAGCGGTCATTATCATTTTTTGCACTTTAAATGACTTCAAAAGTATGAAATCGAATGCGCGACAAGTGGAAAAAGTAACTGCAGTAAGTCGCGTACACCTGCAAATGTCGTTAATGATGAATATCACTTTTTTTCTGAGTAACAATAGACTGGAAAGGGAAGGTTTATTCCTCTACATTGTCATTGCTTTACACTCAAACCAAGATTGACACAGGCATGTGGGGGGGTGCTTTAAAACATCATTGATGGAGGCAGTTCAGGGCCTTCCGGCTCCTTCTCTGTGGTGAGAGGGGCTGCCACCTTTTGCGCATCGATCGTGTGTCGAAGGGCTCCCCAGTGCTCCTCGAACTCGACTGCCTTCTTCCTGAGGTCACTGAGAGAATCGTCCTTCGGTTTCCTCCATTTATCCGTTGTTTTTCCCAGAACACCGGCAATCACCTCCTACAACACCTCGGTTGTTTACCATCAAGAAGTTTGTAAAGCGTCATTAAAGTGGCAACTGGACTCCAGTTCCATTGATGGTGGCTCTTTTTTAGTCGATTCATACATGTACCCGATTAAAAGAAACCACGTTAGTGAAAAAAAAAATTAACAAACTCTTCATCATATTTACAAATTATTGGTTCTGTTGTTCGCCACATGCAAACTTTTACGCAGTCTAATTTTGTGAGCAAAATTAGAGGTCAGATAAAAGGTAGCAAGATTCTTACCCGACCGAAGCTGAGAGGGAAACTACGCCAGTCCTCTATTACTTTGGCGAAGCCGCCTCCTTCATTTCCGAATTCGACGGCGAAGTAGCTGAAGTTGGGAGGAATGGCATCTCTCGCACCAATTCCAGGTTTCCTGAGACTGACGATCTTAGTGTTTTGGTCCCATTCGGACCCAAGATCGAGCAGAGCTTTCTAAAAGCGAATTGTAAAATATGCCATGCTAATAAAGGATGTTGGGTAACTTTCACAACTGAAATGGAGTCTTACCATAAGGGGGCCTCCACCGTACAAGTAAGAAAACACCGGACCGCCTAGTCCACCGCGTCGTGGCTTTGGTGGCGTTTTTACCTGATAGAGTGTATTGGCATTGGTTTTTTAATTGCTCCTCTGGCTTGAGATTCGGGTGTATTGTATTTGTGAAGCGTTTTGTACATGTTTTACCAGCAAAGTTTACAGTCAATAAAAAACTAATATGTGGAGGTTCAGTGAGATCCTTAAAACAATGACTTCATAACAAAACGCACAGTTCATTCAACGACTATGTTTTCAGACAGCTGAAGCAGGCTATTTATAAACGTTACCTTAAAATAAGATGGCAGCTCATCCATAGCGTCTCGGTCGACGGGAATACATTCAATTTGGACATGATGTTTGTGTGAATTCGGATGGCTTGCTACTTCGAGAAAGACGTAGGATGAGCCACGACCCCACCACGAAGCGGCCATTTGACACAAGTCATTTTTAAATGCGCGGGCCTCTTCCACAGCGATCTCATCAACCCGCGTCATTGCACCGATATGTTCCAGCGGTGACAGCAAGCAATGGCCACAGGTCATACTAGCGTGCTCAGGTAGCGATAAGAACATCTGAATATGGCACAAAATAGATTAGGTCTTCAAATGAGAGCTAGCCGAATAATATTAGCAGACGACCACAAGAATGAGGCAGTGTTTAGCACTGTTACAGAATTTTAGATTAATTAAAAGCTCATGAGATAGTTAGAGGAGCGTAGATAAATTCGGGCTAATGGATTTCATTATATCGTTCTCACAATCGGCCCCACGTTTGGAATCATGAGCAAACGCGCAGTTTTGGCACTGAGCTCAAAAGTAACTACATGAAAATCTGTCAAGTGGTTGAACTAAGCAAAGTATTATTTACAAAATTAAACCGTCATTAAGGTTGAAAATATAAGAATATGTCATAGAGGGCTTACGCGCTGTCCGACACTCATTACGAGGTACTGCGGTGTGTGATTTATACAAGAAGCACACTTAGACTCTGCATATTCCCTCCTTTTATAGTCTGCAATCACAAGAAAAAGGTCCAGTACCTCTTGCAGAAGAATTATGAAATGCAAATCGACAAATCGGGTAGAATATTTAAATGCACAAAAATAAAAACACGTGACCTGCTCACGTAAACGTACTGAATACTAGTCTGTTACATACGGGTAACTACACAGCAACCACGTTGTACTTGTCGTTCCTCGGAGTGGCACGTATCCACACTAAACAACTTCACACAAGAAGCTAAGTGTGAAACATGGATATGGGAGGCCAAGGATTATGCATGCTGATTTAAGTGAAATGTAGTAGTCACTTTCAGGCACAATAGTTTGTTACGTTAAAATCTTTTACTTGAGTAAATATGCTAGTGTTAGTGTGGTAGCCTCATACGGTTGCGCCGAAATTACAGGTTTATGTGGGGTCCTGGGACAAAAAGATACTCAAGTCAAAGGAGGAAATCTGACATTTACATTCCTTGATTTCGATTAAGCCATTTGACATTCTCGAAAGCCAAAAGATTTGTAAGTTTCGGAAGTGCAGCAAAATCCAGGTGTTAACGAACCTGCTATAGCATCCGACTTTCTGCGCTTGCATGCAAGGTTGTGAGACTTGCCTGCATTCACCGCAAATACGTCGTCATATTCGTCGTCTACGCGATGCTTACACTAAATTGGAGAAAGGGAGGTGGAGGCTGTTATTATTTACCTCACAATTAGGTATAGTACGTACCTTTCCAGCAAGGGAGATAAATTGCATGTTAGACGAATGTCCTGACTCCAATCGTTCCTGACGAACTAATTCATTAATGTTAGCGTGTTCACTGGCATCTTCGAAGTACCGAATACGATTCCCATTTTCATCGTGTGATTTCATTCTCCCATGCTTAGTTCTATATAGAAAATAAAGATTTAAAAAGTGATAAAAAAGCATGTAAGAGTAAAAAAGGCACAATGATTACTTTGTAATTGGAGGTACTGCGTCGTACCCGTGGGTATGAAGGGGAATTTCGCGACCCATTCTATCAGTCGCCGTGAGATGGACAATACCATGAGAAGAAGAAGCTGCTAAAGGCGAACCACGCACTGTTGTAGTTAGACGAACTTTCACATTTCTTCGCTGAGCTTCTCGAAGTTTTTCTAACTTTGTTTTTAACTGAGCCGCCTTTTCCTAAAAAAACTGACGTAACTATACTGTGTCCTATAAGTGGCAAAACTGAAAAATAAACTTGCACTAACCTTGTTGTTAGACATCTCTGCTTTGAGTAAACGGGCGGACATTGCATTAATATCATCACAAGTGACGAAGCGCTCCTCTACTTTCTTGAGAAGATCACCGTCCGATGTCATAGCTCTAACGATTTTATCAGGGTCACCTGTTTTTAATTCGAAACTGACAAGTCCCTCGATATGTGACAGTTCTAAACAAGTGGAATAGGATTCAGATTCTTTTATGTGGAGCCCCTATAATGATACTGAGACGATAGCAGACAACTTCTGACCCGCAAAATATCCCCAAATGTTCTACTATAGAAAATAAATATGCGAAGATATCACGCAATCAATAAATAAACCGCGGCATTATGGGAGCTCCGCACGATAAAAACAACTTGTCTGACACGTTTATCAGTTACATTCATCCGCAAAGGTTTTAAATTCCCTCAATTAAAGGCAAAATTGCATAAAAATTTTCAAACCTAAATAAGAATCCACGAATCCGACAACGAAGAGACTATAAAATAGTCACGCATCAAATTTAGCTAAGTCCTGTCGCATTAATGAGGGAAAATTAAAGAGGACAGATTTGCAAATTAAGTTCGTTGTCAAAAAATACAAGGTATTAAAACACACACTATCTCCACAAAAAGCTTCAAACTCACAACCTAAGACCAAAAGCACTAAATTAGGCTGTTAATGACAGAGGTAAATTCATAAAAATAATTCAACCAAACACGATTTACGATCACCTACTCGTGACGAAAGTCTAAGCGGTGCGGTGTGGCGTCGGATTAGGGCGCAGACATATTGGACCACATGGCTCC